CAGGCGCTCAGCAGAGTCATATCTAGTGCGGACAGCCCATTCCTCGTCCGCAGGATCCAACGAGCCCGGAAAGTGCGGGAAAGGCGGAAATAACTGGTTGTGTGTGGCGGGCTTTCTTCTTTGCCCTGTCAGCAAGTCTCGCCGAGCCGAATCTGCAGGGTGACGACGGATAGCATAGAGTTCAGTTGACCCATCCACACACTGTACCCATGCACAGTTCCTTCGAGGGAACATGCGGTAGCTGACAAGGCGGGTATTCGGGAGCGCGGCCCACTTACATGTTGGGGCCTCCATGCAACAGCCGCGCTCAGGCCAGTATTGGGCCAGTATTGACAAGATGTTAGCGACCGATCAGCCGGCAAGCTTCATTGTCCAAACCAACCTCGCGGATCGTACCGTCATCTTTACGTATCTTTACGTCAGTGGCAAGAACTCAGTAAACTCAGTAGTATAAAGCAGTCATAACTCCCAGGCCCTTCATTTATTAAATTAAAACATTCACCCTATCATTCAGCGAAAGCTCATTCAGCGAAAGCAAACTGAAAGAATGTTACTTGACCAGAGGCATGCCCTAGGACAAGTGTACAACCATGAACTGCCACACATGAAGGTTCTGTCCATCTCGGGTGATCGGGTGACCCAATTGTCACCGACGAAGAGAATACCACTAGCTGGTTTCTGGTCTCCGGAGGTGCTTGAAGAGCCTGAGTTCGAGGATATACTCAGCAGCCCTCGGTTTGTCGGTAAGAGAAGCCACGCCACAGCCTTGCGTCCGTTCTCCGAGGCCCGCATCCTTGGTCTGAGAGGCCCGCATCAGTTGACGTCCGCCCCGCGGTCGATGAGAAGCGCGCCACAGCCTCGTGTCCGCTGTCTGAGGCCAGCATCAGTGCCGTCCATCCATCCTTCCATCCACCCTTGATCTGAGCGTTGACATCCGCCCCGCGGTCGATGAGAAGCCGCGCCACAGCCTCGTGTCCGCTGTTTGAGGCCAGCATCAGTGCCGTCCGTCCATCCTTCTCCTGAGCGTTGACATCCGCCCCGCGGTCGACGAACACCTTCACAATGCTCAGTCTACCCTCTTGGGCAGCCCAGGACAACGGCGTTCGGCCTTTGTATCCCGTCAAGTCTTTCCTGTACTTCAAACCTTCAGTGATATCGACGCCATCGCAGATGGTTGAAGATAACCCCAAAAGTGCAGCCACCGCGCTTTTGTGGCCGTTGGCCAATGCGGCGAAAAATGGATACTCGTACCTTTCTCGAGGGGCGCGGGCAGCAGGCTCTTGTTTTATCCGTGTGCGGATGAGGTTTTCTAGCCCTCTGTCTGCTAGGACATAGATAGGTGTTGCGTGAACGCCATACCGCCGCTTTTATGCCTCTCGAAC